AGCGTTTTGGGTGTTTCACTTCAAACGATCGTAACTTTTTTCATACTCATCGGATTTGATCGAAATAGGCACCATTCGAATCAGCACACTTTTGCCAATGTGACAGCAGTCGAGAAATCCCATCAAAGTGTAAAAACTGGGTGGTCAAAAATTCACGAAATCCACGAAGGCTTTTTTGCCTGGTCCTGTTTGATGAAGTATTTCCCAGCAAGGAAGTTCTGAAAATGTTCCAAAAGGGAATATTCGGTTGGTGGAAGGTCTGGAGAATATGGCGGTTGAGGTAGAACTTCAACCCCCAATTCGTTCATTTTATGGATAGTGATTTGTGAAACATGCGGTGTGGTGCGGGCGTTGTCATGCAAAAGAATCGGACCCTTTCTTTTGATAAGTGTTGGCTGCATTTGACAAAATTTTCGATACATTTCGTCGATTTCTTCACAGTAGGGTTCTGCTGTGATGGTTTGGCCTGGTGATAAAAAGTTATAGTGGATCACACCAGCCGATGACCACCCCAACCCGTGACCAGGATCTTTTTTAAGGGTTTGGCTTATTGAAAATTACCACGGGTGGTTCGTTTCATAATTCAACCACGTGTTGACGTCTCCTGTGTCATACATAGACCATTTTCATCACAGGGTGACAATTTGTCCAAAAAACAGGTCGTTCGGTTTGCGCAAAAAAGCCCAGTTTGGGGGGGGTGGAGAAGGACCTCGAGACGTGCCGATTCCTGCCGGTCACTCCGATTGTGGGGCACCCAATTGTCGAGTTTTTTCACCTTCCCGATGCGTTCCAGACCATCTGCAACAGTGGATTTGCTAAGGCCTAGCTCTTCTGCTATCTCTCGAACTGTTTGGGATGGGTCAGCCTCCAAAATCCCCTCAAATCCTCGTCAGATATTGCTTTAGGTCGACCGCTATGAGGTTCATCTTCAAGGCTGAAATCTCCAGAACGAAATTTTTAGAGCCATTGCCGCACAGTGCTTTCTCTAGCACTATTGGGCCCTCACACCTGGTTAATTTGTTGAGCTGTTTCGATTGCGGATTGCCCGAATTTATAGTCGAAGAAAAAATCGTCCGAAGTGCTCTTTTCACATGCTTGAAAAAATCTTGGAAAAAGGGGGTTTATTAAGGCAATGGTGAAATGGCAATTATACCATCAGATAGCGCAAGAAATTCTCTACAGGATGTGCTACTGAGAAGCAAGGCAGAATGAGTTTCTTAATCAGCAGTGAATGTACAAAATTAGGTGCACAAAACGCTAAGAACCTTCCCGCGACAACCTCCACCCCATAATACTAACTGGGGAGACAACTTCCAATGTTGTACAAGAGCTTACATTACCGGTTACCACTCTTGGTAATGGGCAAGTAATTTGAGTTCAGAAAAGAGTGACAGAACTTCCCGGCCAACCAAGTATGTAATAGTATTGTGTATCAACTGACGAGCATCTTATGCTCAATGCATTTACGATTATTTGCAGCGAGGACTTCCAATGTCCTAGAATGACGAATCCATCTTACTTTCCACCTGGTGAAACCTTTGGGAGTCAGTTTGCTCGTGAGTTTTCGAAGTATCAACCACTTTCATCAACAATTTAATGGAGTCGGTTCAGCGGGTATGATATTTGCTCGTGCTCTACCTTCAAAACCTGGGGAGAATGCTGGCACCCAACATTCGAGATCTAATTGTGCTATTAGTGTCAGCGCATAAAAATCGACATGTGGCAACATTGAGAGGGTAGCAGCGTTCTTTCTCCGAAGTGTTGAAATTTCTTACTGAGCCTGACTCCATATGGAGAGGCCAGAACACATGCTATTGCCATTCACAATTATGTAGTTCTTGGATTCTGCTAAAATTATTCACTTTTGCACTGGACACAAATTCGATGAGATTTTCCGCAACCTCGTGAAAAGGACCTCCTGTCAAAATGTGCTCTACGCCGAGATAATTTACGGACTAACAGTACAGATATTTGCGCATTGTTACCTAATCAACTGTAGTCTGTAGATTCTTTGTGTGTCTTTTATCGACATTGCTTACCGAGTTCATTCATAGATATTCTCTCACGCTGCTAATTATTTTTTGTTATGGATCATATGATGAGGGGAATAAAGCTATTTTTGCGCAATTGTTCATTGCCGCAGTGAAGCGATTCAAAATGCAAAAGTTTCAGGAGAAATTTCGGAAACAAGCCGTAGTTTTGTAATTTGATGAAAAGAGGTTAACAGCAGCATCACAGGTACCGACTGGCAGCAGTCAGACCCCTAGCTTTCATCTACCATGTCCGCTGAGTGACCCCATTCCACCTCCTACCAAAAACCTCTATTACTTGTGAGTGTAGAGCATACTTACATTTGTCAGTCCCCCCGACCTTTTTTTTTCCAACAACGGCAGATCCGACGTGGAAGTTGTCATTTGTGCCAATGTGCCAGGCTGTGTATAGACACTAGAACTTCATTGGAATGAGTGCTATAGGGGTGTGTGTGTGTGTTAGAGGATTACCGTCAAAGGTTCGTTCACCACTGAAGCTGTCTTTTTTCACTATTATTCATCTTTTGCGATTTGTATACTGTAGGGTCCCCCTAGTATACAGAAGGTTATATAGGCGTCTCCTTGATTTATAGAGTCACAACACTTCGCTTTCCAGCCGCTGGAGCCACATGATTGCCATGGCGCCCATTTGGTGCCACAAGCTTGTCTGGTTTACCCCAAGCGATGAGCGAGACTCGCCTCCTGAATTAAAACATTCCACAAAAATATGCTAGGTCTGAGCGAAATGAAAACACATAGCCTCCTCATTGAGGTGGGCTCTTAAATGCAGCGCCGGCTTCGAAACAGTACGACTTTAGCCGGGCAGCGAAGCGTGCTTTGGAGAACATGCGCCAACAATGTTGGAGCTTGGAATAAACTGCAGAGGTGTGCGCTGAGGTCTCCACCTTCCTGCCAGTTTTTTCCAAAATTTCCTGAACATTTGCTCTTTTTCCCCGAAAATTTTCCGTCGAACGGACAGGGGGGACTGGCCGAAAAAGTCAACTACCTGGAAAACTTGCCAAGAGAAGCAAGTTTCTCTCAAAGGCACATAAGATCCCCCTCCCTACCCATCGGCAACTGCTACCCCATCCCACGTGTTTCAGACAACGACGCTGTACCCTGTACAACGTGATTCAATATGCAACTGTAACGGTGGGGTGTTGGTCTTTGTATCGCAATGCTTGAGTCACGGTACTGAAGTGAAGAACTACGTTAGTGAAGAACTATGAACACAGCACAATGCTCGAATACTGTGAATACCACAAGAATGCTGAGTTGTGGGCAAAAGTCGTGCCCCAGGCGGGAGTTCGGAACCCGCACTCACATAATTCCGGTGGCGGGTGGCTATCCAGTAATACGCCAACAGGGGCGCTTTATACCCTCTCAGCTTAACGCGCTTTTTAATGCCGTTAGCCCAATCACACTCACACGTGTTAATTTGGTCGCAGCGGTCAGCGTAATCGTTAGATTCTCCCGGCATGGAACGCGAGGCCCAGTTTGGAAATTTAGGTGTTTTTCTGAATACCTCCCTTAGCTGTCTTAATGTCACAACACTCACGCAAGCCCTTGTCAGTTTGCCGATACAACTTTATTTCCGAACTAACTCTTCACTGAAATGCGAATCAGATATACCTATACTGGTAAGTGAATGTAGATGTATGTTGAAGACTATAGGTGACCACAGGTGTTTGGGTTGATCTTGCTTGAGAGGATCTGGTTGAGTTTGTCACAGAGACAACACAGATTCTTTGAAAATCACACAAAGAAATGTATCTTAGAAGTCGCTTTCAATCCTTCAAAAAGCGACACGTGATGTCGTCGTCGCGTTCCTACTGTGGTACATATGGGGTGACAATCACTCAGAGCATTGGAGCAGCTTCAACGCCAGGGATAGCTGGTTAAAATGAGCGGAGACCCCATGCGTTGGCGCTGACATGCTCACTCTTCAATCTGTTCGTAAAACAGGTTCAAGGAACTAGCAACGTAGCGAACAAGGCATGAGGTCTCCCCCACTTTGACCCACTACCCCGGGCGTTGAGGCTGCTCTGATGCTCAAGTTTTACGAGCAAGTCACACTCACATAACCAGCGCAGCCTCTGTGGATCAGGCCAGATTCAGTTCCAGTTCGGTGACAATGAGCTCTACGCTGGAGTTGAGATAAGAGCTCGCGCTTACTCTTTACAATCCCACTTATTAACATTTTAATTCACGCAATGGACAAGATCACCATTACTGCATCCCCTCCTGGCGTAGGAATTTTTATTTTAAAGTAACATATAATTTGGAGCGGAGACTCACCTCGGCTCTTCATCGCCTTTATTTTAGCCGATGACTTTTAGGCTCGATTGCCGCTTAATTGCTTACAAACTTTCTACATCTGACATCTTTTCAAGGCTGTCACTCTAATTTGGATCGTTTTTCCCGTTGGTGCCTGAAAATGGTTGAATTTGCTACATTTTGCCGAAAATCCGATGCAAAAGATACCGTAATCCAGTCGTTACACATAGTGTAGGTGTCACGAATTTTCGTTACAGTGGCGTCACCGAGAGTGACAGTCCTGGTCTTCCAGGTCGTGGTAGCCGCCATTGTGCCGCCACATCCCACTTTCTGAAATGATATTGCTTGATGACTTGCCTCAGATAGGCCGCGCACTGGACAGGGAGAGCTTGGTAGAAAAGCTGCACCACTTACTCGCTGTTCACAAAGGAGTTTCCACCGTAGCCAGAGGCGACAGATGCATGCGCCACTTTCAGGTTCCTTGGGTTGGCAGCGTCCTCCCATCTTTTACATACTCCCCGTAGTTGCCAAGCCATTACAGGGAGCTGGAAGCATTAAGCACGCTCGAAGGGTACAGCGACGAAATATGTTGGAATAAAGGCTGTCATCCAGCGGAGTTCGCTTTCTTCGTAGAGCCATTCTAAACTCCGTATTTTGGTCACCTAAAGGGCTCGCAACGGTCGATTACGAGTCAATATTATTGTGACAGACGCCAATCTCTATAAACAATTAATCGATCACAAAGCCCTTATAGCGACTTTGCTGGACAGATTGGGCCTGAGCGTATACTGACCAAGGGTCCTGGCGCCGCACTGAAGTTATGCAGTTAGCAAAGGCCAGCGTTCAGACGTGCATTAGTGAGCAGCGAGTTCGGCTGCCTAGCGCTTTTCCTCATATCAAAGCAGACCAAGCTTTAAATAAAAGCATAAAAGTAAAAACTTTTAGAACCTTTTATTTTTGGTGAGTTTTCAACCGATCCAACTTTCTGGTTGGTTTTGCTTCTTTCTATGGTTTCACAGTCATATAAGTATTGGCTGGTTGGCCAAGGGAATACTCAGTCAGAAGTGTGAACGTTTATTATTTACACGTCTGACAAACAGAAGCGAATAATACAGATCTCAGCGAGCTTATATACAGCGAGTTTGGGGCCGGTTGCTTAGAGACACAATGTCGACTGGGCGGCAGGTGCGAACAAAGAGGATCGAAAAGGCGCGCACCGACGCTCGACAGGCTTGGATCAGAGTTACCTATGTACACGATTACTCACATCAAAGATAGTGACGTCACGCCTCGCCGCTATTCATCTTAGGAGCTGCTTATATATGCAGCAGGATTAATCTAATATGCCAAACTAGCTCACTATCATTCAACCGTAAAAGGTAGTCCTAGGTAGTCTTATTAGTTACATATATAAGGTTGTGAATCCACAACACAAATTCTCGAAAAAATCCTTCATAGTTAATATTTTCTAGAGCCTTCTTCCTCACACGTTCTCCATTGGAGTACAGGTTGGTCTCTCCCCGTTGCTCTTCACTCACTCATCCACGGATCCTTGTGGTTCCCCTGTGTGGAGATATCCAGTCCGCAGTTGCAGTAGCGTGCTGCTTCTTCAGCTAAGCGCACTGAAACTTGGCTGGAATGTAATGTTACCCAAATTCCGTGTCCGTACTTTCTGCAGGACGGCTAGCCAGACGCCTAGACAAACGACTGGCTAGATCTCACTCTTGATTTGTCGGTTACTCGTCATCGCTTCGTCGTAATACCGACGTACGTGCTGTATCTAAGGCGGAATATGGAGGAGACACCCTGGTACCGTTGCTCCCCTGTTCCCGTGCACTTTTGAGGGTAGAAAGTCTCATGTTGCTGCAAATACGGACCCATTAGCTTGGCAGATAGCAAGAACCGTCCTCGGCAGTGAGTGATCAGTTTTTCAAACTCTTATGAACGCTTCGGATGTTAGTTCTTCTCTGACTTTTCTGTCTGCTTCGAGCAGATCTTATCTCGAGAATGAAGAATTTATACAAAAGCAATGTTGATGAGGGCACAAACTAACCGTTGCATTTGTAGAACCAGTTGATCATCCTGATATCGTAGAATGAGATAGTTTTGGAGCCCAGTGTGCGCAGATATCTGGCATCTTTAGGTATCATTGAGTTGCCACTTGTGGTGAATCTAAAGACATAAGATTCATAATCACTTATAGCGCGGCACTTCGTCGAATAGGGGGATTTTGCTTTGAGCAGATTCGAAGGTAGTGAGCGCACAAATACGGTGCTCTTCAAGAGCCCCGTCAACAGTAAGAGTTCAGGTTTTTTTCTGATAGAACAATTTTTTTAACTTCTCGGCTCTGCATTGTATTTGACCCTGCCACGGCTGAGAACCTGTTTCGATATACATGAGTAAGAGATGTAGGGGCAAGTCTTGCTAATGCTGCCCGCCCATTTCGGTACGCCATGCTTCTTGAACCATGGCCACAATTTGACAAGATTTGGTTGCTAGAAATCATGGCATTAGTAAGAAAAACAGAATCTTTACTGGGGCCGAAGGGAGAAGAAGAAACTGGTTATTAAGCCGCGATGAAGCGGTACATGACAGTATTGCCTCCCTCAGCTATGCTGGAGAAGCAACGGATCTCGCCCGAGAGCATCGATGCCCCACACTTGCGACGATGGAGCCATGTTGAAGCTCAAAGATATTGGACCTCATGCTGACGAAGTGAAGCACCTTGCCGGCTATTTGATGAGAAAATGGTGGCATATGGATTTCTGCGATCACATGATAGCCCATGTGAGAAGTAATTGCTGCTGTGTCGCCCTATGCTGAAGTAGACTTTGCTATTTTATATATTAAATAGTTCGTTCGTGCTATAGTTTTTTTTACACGTCTTGATGCTTTGGCAGGTTGCTGTCCTCTATCTGTCTCGTTACATGATTTCGCAAGCGACAGGGCCATGTACAAAAGTTCAAGATGTCATAATGCAGACGAACAAAGGAATGTGGCTGACTACATGCTTACGAGAGATGCAGCTCAAGACATCCGTCGGCGAGGGTGGCGAAGGAGAGGCCGGTGAGTGGTGCATCTTAGTGGGCTCTACAGATTCAAGATGGTACAGTCGCATGTCATAATCCCTGCGACAGAGTGACGGGCCATGAGTTGGATGGCAACCAGAACACCCCTTTTCAATTGTTCTGTGCTCTGAATGATCATATCCAAGGTCAACTAGTGAGGACTACTCAGTCTGCGCGCGATGCCGCACCTCTGAAGCCATGGACTACACCCGTCTACGAAAGATGATTCCAGGTAAAGGAGTGCAAAGATCTATGTATACGTTTTCAACCACTTACGTGTCGGCACCGTAATGCATATCACTGCCGTATTCGTATGGCGTATTGTTGATTGTATATGTTGCCTTGTTGAATTGGCTCCCATATACCTTCCTAAAAGTGCTACATTGAACTGCAATTTCGAACGAGGGCGCTCAGTATGTGTGAAGAGCGGGAGCCTACTGAATGTGGCGACTAACCTAGCCAAGCTCATTATATCAACTCTATCGGAGCGTCGAATTGAAGCGTCGCCACGTACACACGGTTTGACGCGGCACCATCTTATTCCATCAACGGGTGCCCGCGCAGGGTACGTCCTGCTGCCGCGGGAAAATTTCCGGAAAATACGGTCCCTCACCCCCACAAGAAACAGGAAAAATCAGCCATCAGAAAGATTTTCTCGAACCAAAAGCGACCCACTCTCTTCCGCCCAACGACCAAGTCCCTCTCCCGTTGGGGATTCCCCAACGTAAGACGTGCCTGGGTCCGCTCTATAGTAGCAACGACGCTGGCGAACGCGCTTAGACCTCGTCAATCGTCAGAAGGTACTTACGTAGGTACGCCCACATCCGACGCCGCTAGGTAACGGTCTGCACTATAGTTCTCTTGTGGATGATCCTGCGTGGCGCCTCCCCCAAAGTAGGTACCCTTACATCCTTATCAAGCTACAGCATACCGACCTAGAGCCCACAGCGCCCGCATCTGCTTTTTACTTGTGATCTTTTCCCAGCGTCTCAACATTTTCCTCCTGACTGGCTCTTATTTCATCTATATGACCATTTACTACTCATAAGAGGCACTATTTACCCCTCACTGCCCTAGATTTGGAGGTTTGGGTCCGATCTTCGATTCGTCTGGCACGATTATTACACCACACGAAACCGCCTCGCGCCAATGCCAGATACGCGGGCGCCAAACAGCTTCGGGTCGAGCAGATGTGATATCCGTGTTCATTTGAAATGTGACCTGATTTGATGGTCAGTAAATAGTAAATAGTGTCAAATGTGAAATAAATGGATGTGACTTTACCTTCACATTAGTAGTGTCGACTGTAATGTATGTGTCCCTATCGTTCCGACTTTGCATGTGCAGTGATCCGAGAGCGTGCGTGAATTCATGGGCTACAGTGCCCACCTGAAAGAATCTCATTATGTCGGAGCCGAACGGTACTCCCAAGCGGACCACATAAGCGTCGGAAAAAACAACGTGGGCTGCATTTAGCCCCTCCATCCATCCATTTTTTACACTTTCTTACAAATCGGCGCAGGAAATTTACTGCTACTGCAGTCGATCGGATATATCTGCCCCGTCCCCTCCCTGATAACTCGCAACGGCGAAATTTCGGAGGAACTTCGGTAAAAGCTAGATTGGTGCTTTGAGAGGAATCGAGCGGAAAGAGAAAACTCGAGGGGAGAGGGTCCTTTTAGCGAAAAGACTCCCTAATGACGATGTGCCCTGCTCCTAAATTCCTATTCCATATGCTACTAAACTCCAGAATAATACGCGCATGTGTGACATCTTAAATTACGTCGGGAGAATTAGAGGGGAGCCTCATGCGGTATTTTGTTTTTTGGAATGCTGTGAAGTAAAAAAGGAAGTTCTTGTGGGTGATTCGCAATGTGCGGGGCAGCTCATTCTCCCCACCTTGTGCTCGACAAGCGCACAGACTACGGAAATTCCCTCGAAAGCAGCAAGTGGCCTTCGGCCTCCGCCACGTTCAGCATGCGTGCGCCAGCCACTTCGCTCTCCCAACAACTGAACCGTGGGACTATGGCCGATAGCATAATACGCTGCAGAGATGCCTGTCACTCCCTTACTACTTCCCGCCCCTGAAACACCACACCATAAAAGTGGAATGTAGAGGGCGGGTGCTCCGTTGATTAGCATCTTGAACACAGCGTAAAGGGGTTTCACTTTGGTCATGAGATACCTTTCACAATTTGAGCCGTAAAATGCACCCGTTCGGGATGGTGTTCGGGGGCTAGACAAAAAATCTAAGATTAGAAATGCCTCGAAGTGCTGGTATGAAGCCCACCCCACGAAAATCGTCTGGTAATACACCACCGAAATCGTTGCTTCCGTGCGAGAATGCAGCCACGCTCTCTCCCTCTCTGAGATATAGGGTATATTGAAATCGTAAACTTACAACGATACAGTATCCAGCTAGCGATAAGTCTTGCTCGCCTCCAACCATTCCAAGGCTGGAGTAACAGCCACCTCCATTGAACACTCTTATACGATTCGTTGCTGTAGCATCTTCAATAAAATCGATGCAGGTACGAGCCTGGATGTACTTCAAGACCGTCCTAACGTAGGCTTGAGTGGTAGAATCTGAAAATGGGGAGGGAAAACTGCCAGGAAAAGTGCTACGATATAGGCTCCTAGAAGCTTACTGATGCTTGCGTCGAAATAGTAATAAACTTTGTTGTTCTCCCACCGAGTAGCATATTCATGGATTTGACGCTTTCTGCGGGTGTGATATTCCGCGGAGTTCTCAAGGAGACTTAGTTGCTCACTGAAACGCTTTATTAGTTGTAATGTGATTCACGTGGCTATAGGAGATACTATCGCCTATATCGCTGGACGATACGGAGCTATGGAAGAATATTCTATTCAGAAGCCGACCCTCCCCTCTTATATCATGTAGGTTGGAGAAGAAGTCTTGCAACAGTTGAAGGGATCCACTTGCTCAACGCCTTGTACGTGTAACTCTGAGTGACCACGCAGACTGACGTCAAGTTTTGGTTGTATGCACCTCACAGTACACCCAGTCTCGGTTATCAGGAAAGATATTAGCTAGGGAATTCTCAAGAATAACGCTAAGCCCCGAGTAATGTTAGTCCAGACTTTTCTTTATCCTGCACACTGAACGGCAAGCATAGTGGGTGTAACGAACTAGACTCTCCGATCAGGGACGGTAGTAATGTGGCATAAACTGGCAGTTCACAGGTAACCATCAGCTCGCGGTAAGGACGACTGTCCAAAACGCCTATTCCAGAGACTTTATTAAGAAAGGTCGAGGTTGGGTGGTCGTTACCACGACCTGAGGTGAACATTGCTATCCTCCGTTGAACTGCGACGTTATGATGTCGCACTTGAGTTCTCAACCACGAGGGTGGAGACATTACGCGAAACGGAG